TACTCAATGCAAAAAAGTTGTGAATGTTTCGGCATGTATGCGGTCAATTATCAGCCGTTCGCAATCGAAGCAAGCGAATATTTTATGATATATTCGATTGAGTGCTGAATATATACATGTATATGGGTTGATGTCTATGGGGGAAGCGACACACAACAGACATTTAAAAACCCACCACACAAATATTTCCATCCAATAAACAAGATTTAAACTGAGTTTTCTGTCAAATTTGCGCACCAATACATCCAATTTCATGTCCATCCATGCTTTTTTTCGTTTATATGTATAGAAACTTCTATTAAACGTTCAACATCTATGCTGACTGATATTTGTGTACGCTAATCAAGCGATAATCAAACACGCACAAACACACATCAGCAAGCGCATGTCGATTGAACATTATTTCTGTTCTTACTCATTTGCAGGCGATTGCTACATTCATATTGCAGCGTGTGAATGAAATGCAAACAGTCAACGTGCCGTTCTCTCCACTTATCGTAGCGGCACAAACATCTACTGTATTAACACTCATAATAAAGCAAGCGTTTGTCTGTATGCGAGAACAAAGCTGAAGGGGCGATGAACGCTCTAACGCACGACAAAGTAACTTTGACAAATGATTTAGATATGTAATGATGCGTTAAAAGTGACAGAACAGAAATCGGCATCTCAGTTTAAATGTACTTCCATGTCTTTGAAGTGCGATTATTTGTACAATATTTGCAATAAAGGCTAGAATTGCTTTTCAAGTGATGGAAACCAAGAAAAATAGAGAAAGAAAGGGCGAGAATAAAAGACAGAACGCAAACGAAAAACGAAATTGAATATTTGCAGTGAGATCGATCAAAGAAGAAGCCGAAAATATTGCATTATTTTCAGCATATAGAAATATGTGTGATGGGAAAAAGACTGACAGATATGGAAAAATGTCTACAACACTGGTGAGTGCTTTTGAGTCAGCGAATTATGTGAGCTTTAGACAGTCCGTTCTCTATTATACAAACATTCAATTGAATTCTTTCAAACATTACAACAATTATTTTCTCTGTTTTCTTGGATTGTCGCTGAGGATGACAAATGTCGAAATGCATCCAAACCAAAATTTCGTTTATAAATCCATATTCATATTGATTTATGTTTGAAATTTGAAAAAGCAAAGTCACTTTAACCCTCTAGTGCATACGTGAACTTATAAGGTTGGTTCATTTAAACCTTTCTATAATGTGAATCATTGATTATGTCACGAAATAATGTATGACAGTTTTCGTTGGAGAACACTAGCGCACATTTCTTTCTCATAAAAATTTTGTGTGCGGTCAACCAGTGTCAAGTTATGACAACATTTGTACAAGAAAACAACGTTTCCGTAAAATAAATTATTTTCGTTTCGTGTCCTGTTTTTGAAACGTGATTAAATCGAATAAAATTATTTTGTTGACCTCAGGAATTTTTTTTCTGCTTATTTGGAGTGTTTTTAACCAAATTCAATTCAAGTTCAATGATTTTTTACAATTGTGCAACATTTGTCCGTCAATTTGCATACTGTTCTTATAAGTACAGCCATGCAATTTGGATTTCTTTTTGTTTGATATTTCGTGTGCTTGGTTTAGTGTGGAATTTTATTTTCATTTTATTTTAACCTATTTTTATCACAAATAATCCAGAAAAAATGATATTCACGAATTCCGATGTCAACATCACTCAATTTGCAAGCTGTTCTTATAAGTTCAGCTATGCAAATTCGGTTTGTTCATATACTTCGCAATTTCCATATTGGTCGTAAATGCATGACTGTACTTATAAGACCATTTTGATTTTTGCGATTTATTGATAATTCCAGCATTATACCAGATTATGAATATTTTTTTAAGTGCTTATGAGGTAAAATAAGCATGGAAAAAAATTCCCAGCTCTGTATAAAATATATGCATTAGAGGGTTAAGGTGTTTTATTTAAATTTAAATTCATAGATTGAAAAAATCTTTCCATGTATTAGACTTTGCGGTTCAAATAAATTTTGTCGTTTTTTAACAACTACTCATTCTTGGATTGTATTCAAGTGAAATGCAGAAATCAAAAAACGGCCAACAATGAGAAAAATGACTAGAATGACGTTTGGTTTGGCGCCATCTGCAAGGTGGAAGTATTTTGCCATACAAATACGTTCAATTGTAGCTGTCATTGATAGTTGACAGTATATTTATAGAGGAGTTTCATAGTTCAGTATTCAGCGCCAAGATGTCGCTTAAATATAGCATAAACACATGCTCCATATAAAAAAATAGGCAAATTTTATCTTTGCGGCCAAAATAGTTTTTTTCTTTGCCCATAAGCAATAGATATGTGTGGACAATCAATACATCGTTAATAAATGTATATCCACGTTGGTTGAAATCGGATTGGAGCTTTCTTTGCCAATCCGAATTAATTATCATGTGCAGGACTAACTGAAATACTTTCTCTTAATTAAGGAGGGCGGGAATATAATTGAAATCAGGAATTCACTAATTCATAATTCGCCAATTTGATATGAACTTGAATCTAGAAAGAAACATTCGGAAATTCATCAATGCTAATCCGATTTGTTCCACTTATTAGCACACCTAATAATTTTTAAAACACATTGAATTGCCGCATATCATTGGTATAAAAAACCGAGCATCGTTTACAGCAAAGAGAAGAGCTTGTCTTAAACGGTTTAGAAGAAAACCAATTCATTTTCGATTAGATTCGATTCGATTAATAAAAATGAATTTCAAAGTATTAATTTTGCTTGCCGTTCTGATATTGGCACTCGAAAGCACATTTGGAAGCCCATCACCTCTTCCACAGAGTCGTGACGGTGCAGTACCTCTTAAGGCGCAAGAAAGTAAGTTAACAAGGAAAACATTGTAAATTCTTATTTATAAATAATTTTACGTTTATTTCAATTTTTGTAGCAATGACATTGTGCACTGATGCGGTGTGTCATATGAAATGCCAACTGGAAGGACATGGTACTGGCAAATGTATTATGGAAAAATGTTTGTGCATGAGTCGGTGAGGAGAATGAACTATTATGCCTAATAAATAAATTCGCTTTTGCGATTCGGAAAAGTGATTTTATTTAAATTCAATCGTGGTAGTTTCGACCAATTTCCAAGTCCAAGCTTCTTCGATTCTATTTAATATTGTTGAAATGGTTCAATAAAATAAATTTAAAAGTATTTGCTTTTGTGGTATACTTGCGTTAGTATTTATTTCAACATAGTACCACATCTATCTATAGGGGAAGAAGATGCGAATCCAGTCAATTCAAACAACTTCGCACTTGTTCGGTTTATCGCACTGGGTGAGGTCTTTTTGAACGCATCTTAAACATTGGTGTGACGTGAATCTGCTGCACCTTAACCTCAAAAAATGTGCAGTGCTATCTATCTACAAGAAACGTCAGCATTTGCATACAAGCTACACCTATGGCGACCACACCTTCGACAAAGTGACTGAACACAAGGGCTTGGGTGTCCTAATTGACAGAAAGCTATCTTTTGCCAAACACATCGACATGGTCACTTCGAAGGCAACGGCTGCACTTGGCTTTGTCAAACGCTTCTGCCACGATATCACCGACGTTACCACACTTAAGTCGCTGTATTTTGCATTGGTTCAATCTCACCTCGATTACTGCGCCGTGATATGGCTTCCATTCCACAAGATCCACAGCGACAAAATTGAATCCGTGCAACGCCAATTCACTATGTACGCTCGTCGAGAATACCCATCCGTGCATAACCAATACTCAATCAAACCGTACGAGCAGCGATTGTCAGACTTGAACATGATTAGTCTTCGCCGTCGACGTGTCAACGCGTCATTGACGTTCTTCTACGACATCATCAACGGAAACGCCAACTGTCCAACAGTTAGAGACCAAGTCTCATTTCATCATGGCCGTTCGTTGAGGCACAGTAAACAATTCAAGGTCAATGACAAGCAAATGAAGTTGGTGCGCAAGACTCCAGTTCCTCAAATGTGCAAAATGGCGAACATGGTGCCGGAACTGTTCACAGTAGCTACCTCAAAGACGAATTTTGCATCATCGGTTCGTAAAATGACGGACACTACTTTTGGATCGCTTTGCAAACTCAAATGACTACCTGGCCGTCTAGTCAATTTTTCATCCAGGTAACCTCATTTTTTGTATATGTTCTCCACGAGAACACCTTGATACTGCCCACATTAATGATGAAATTGCGATTTTCATGTTGCCATTAAACCCGATCCATGATCCCAAGCGGACGAATTCATCAAGGACAAAGCATACTGACCGGGTGCCATTTGGGTTGCTTCTGATTGCAACAAACATGAGCGAGGCTGTCCCAGGTTCCAACCACCCACGTGGAATTCAACTCATCTCACACGGATCACACAGAAAAATTAATATTTAAAGACTGACGAATTTTTCCATACATTCTTTTATGTGTATTGAAAAGATGATACTTATCTGTGATGTTTACACTTACTTATTTATTGTAAATTTTTATTTTGATTTTGTGCTTTGTTGCCATCCACGAGTTGGCGAGTTAATATTGTTATCTTTCAAGTCAATTTTGAATTATTTATCAAATAGCATCAAATTATCTAGTTACGTTTCAAATCATGGTCCATGTCAACTCAATGCACTCTGCAATCAACATGGATCTGCCTTAACCGACGTAAAACTTCTCATCAATTTATCTATCGGATAAATTAAGTGACGACTTTTGCAGTCTCAAAGTCTGAATTTAACGCGTAACAATTAACGAAAGGTAGGAATATAATTGAAATCAGAAATGCACTAATTCATAATTCACCAATTCGATATGAACTTGAATGTAGAATAAAATATTCGGAAATTTATCAACGCCAATTGATTTGTTCCACTCATTAGCACACCTAATAATTTTGATAGCACATTGAATTGTCGCATAGCATGGGTATAAAATACCGAGCATCGTTCACAGCAAAGAACAGAGCTTGTCTCAAAAGTTTTAGAAGGAAACCAATTCATTTTCCAATAGATTCGGTTCGATTAACAAAATGAATCTCAAAATATTTACTTTGTTCGCCGTCGTAGTATTGGCATTATTTTCATTTGGAAGCTCATCACCACATCCTCAAGAAGAAGTAGCCCCTCTTAAGGATGAAGAAAGTAAGTTAACAAGGAAAATGTCACAAATTCTTATTTATAAATATTTCAATGTTGATTTCGAATTTTATAGTCCCGAAGTGCTGGAACGTGTATTGTGTCATGGTATGCATGAGGCAAGGATTTATGGATGGAAAGTGTATTGACGACAGATGTATATGTGCCGGAGCTGGATTTAAGTAGGAATGAACTGTTATATCCAATAAATAAATTCGCTTTTTAAAAGTGGTTTCATTCAAATTTAAACGATGTAGTTTCGCTAGATTTATTACTAAGTCCGAACTTTTCGATTCTATTCAATATTGTAATGTAATTGTCTCTTTGCTAAAGACGAACCATGGGCGGAATTTATACCGTATTGGGTCTTTGACCAGCATGTTCGGCTTGCTGTGAACACATATTGGTGTAAATGTAGGCTTCGTAATAAATAAATAAATATTGTTGAAAATGATGGTCCAATCAAAAGGCGCGCACAGTACATAACAGCTAATGCAACAGTCGTGAGACGCATTTATTCATTATGCATGGTTGCGATTTTAATTACATAAATGTAGTAATTAATGAAGGTAGGAATATAATTGAAATCAGAAATGCACTAAGTCATAATTCACCAATTCGATATGAACTTGATTTTAAAAAACATTCGGAAATTCATCAGCCAATTGAATTGTTCCACACATTGCCACATAATTGAAATGTCATAAATATTATCTTAAAATGTTTAAATAAAACCAACTCATTTTCGAATCGATTGGAAGGACGTATGGGCAAATGTGCTTATGACATATGTGTGTGTTATTAAGGAGGACAATGAATTGACGGCCTGAGAAGAAGAACCTTTCCTACAAAACCTGTGCGCAGAATACAGAAATTTTTTAGTCAAAAGGCGAACAGCAAATTTGCGAGCGCAGAAACCTAATATATTTACAGCGAGCGCAAAAGCATAACAGGCCTACTTATACGGAGTTTGCATGCTAGTAGGCTTGTAGGATAATTTCTGTGTTTGTGTTCTGCGCACAGGTTTTGTAGGAAAGGTTCTTCTTCTCAGGCCGTCAATTGTTATACCTAATAAATAAATCCGCTTCGAATAACGGTGAAGCATATATGATATTGTCGAGTCTTACTTGCAAAACTGGACCATCGACAAAGACAGTTCATTTTATAAGTCATTTGTTATTATTCAGTACATTTGCCTCGGATATCATTCAGTTTTCGCCCTATTCACCCGTAACTCAGTACATTCCCTTCGACTATTGTTACACCAAACACATTTGACGGAGTTAGTATTGCGACAATCGTCCACAAGTTGTGTTTTTCTTTTCTTCCGAAGTAAAAAAAAACACGAATATTATGTCACGAATGTGTGTAGACATTTAAATGCTATGGAAATGATTTTTCAGCCGTTCTCTGCTCAAAATTCAATGCTCTCAGTAATAATTTCTTCCGAGAATGTAACGACTGAATGCATCCATGAAACCCAATCAGTGAAAAAATTAAGGCGAAGAAATGGCAACGTTGGCAACGAAATGGATGCGTTTATATTTCGATGAATTTTCATTGAAAATTGTTGTTTGTAAACGGCGAAACCCAATAAATAATCAGATGAAAGTTGTTCAATTAATTTTGCAGAATTTAACGATGGAAAAGTTCACGATTTCTTGAGTGGCTGCTGTTGAAAGTTGAGAGCGATTTAGTTTGTTGAAATCTTTGATGGGAGCGGATAAATTACTCGGTAAAGTAAATGGCGAATCATATTAGAAGTATAGTGAATGGCTTCGGGTAATATTACATTGCAAAAAGTTGTAATTCACCCACAAATCAATGCATTGCGTCTGATTTCTCATACACATCGGATGCACGCACAAGCACACACACACCATTTGGCGTACCATACAAATGTACGACGTACGTGTTTGCATCAAAATAGCGAGCGAATGAGGGAACAAATCGAAATAGATAGTATCGCGTTCACTTGTTTAATTTCTTATCTGTCGACACAGTTTGCATTAGATGTAGTCATGCGAACACACCGGAAATGATTGATCTTGGGGAAATAAAAAGTTTGTTTGCTTTTGCCAATAATTGTCTGCTCAATGGGAAACGCTTGCCGAGCATGCAACGCTCTCAAAGAGTTAAAATTATTTCCGCCAGTTAATTAATTTTTAATTGAGTTTGCGTGCGACTTCATCCAATTATCAAATGAATTTTCATTTCGGCTGAGAGCAAACTATTAATAAACTAATTTCGTTTGTGAGGGGTCTTCAATTTTACCGATTCGATTCACACACAACGATTAAAATTTTATGTTTAATACACGATGAACATTGAACAGACAAGCACACTTTTTGGTTGGCTATATATTCCATGTTGATTTCCGTTCATTTTGTGCAGCCGGTATCTCTATGCCCCTGACATATGGCTTTATGCGTATTCACGTACATTTTGCGAGATTGAGTGGGAAAAGACTTTATTGCGAAATTACGAGATCAATTCTGTCATGTATCAATAATGTGGAATCGAAAATCAAAAAGCTTTGATTCAAGAAAATGGGTTCTTTTTCCTCACTCACACTCTCGCTCTTTTTCCCACAAAGTGGATCAATGATGGTTTCAGTTTTATTTGATCTTAGTTCGTTCAAACACAAATAAACATCGACAATATTCCCAAATGAAATACCTTTAATTATGTGCCCAAGGTTGAAATGATGTAATTTTAATAGTGGTAATCTTCTATCAATATTTAGATTTTGCTATCACTGTAGCGATGACAATTCATCGCATTCCCGCCCCATTCATGCTATGATTGAGCTGCTCGCTCCAGTAGAAAAAGTATCCCGAATGATGGTAACATCAAATGAAAATATGATTACATTCCATGGAAATTGACATAGTAAAATCGAAAGCACTGCATATGAACTCACCTCGACACCATTTCCAATACGAATGGAATTATTTTATTAAACGAATGTTTGCACGAAACTTTGATGTGCAAACCATGTGATAACACTAAATGTAAAATGAAGTTTTTCATTAAAACTAACGTCAGCTCGTTTGCGCTATATATCGATTTTGTGTTTGATTTGTCACGATTCATTGGCAGTAGCCGAAGCTTTAACTCAATAAAAAACCAAAAAAAAAATGGATACCTATCGAAGAAGAGATATAGATAGAACATAGAGAGACACACACACACAGAGAGAGAGAGAGAGAAAAACTTTTTCTCAATTCCTACTCGAATTATTTGCTAACATTGGCAAACAATTACCGGCCGATGAACGAAAGACACATGAACACACCAAGTATCACTATTTTCTGAAGTGGACGCGTCAAAATGTTTCATTTTCTGCTATTTTTTCGCCTCTTGTGTGTCTGTGTGGCGCGTAGCGAACCAAGCTGATGAATTATCTCTCATCATTCGAGTGCTATTAGAATCGATTCGTTGAACATGTCATTTTTCAACACTTCATTTCACCTTTCCGATAGCGCGTACTGTGTAGTCGACCATGGCTGACAATGACAACGACACATTTTTCTGCAATTCCACTAATGTTTGCTGTCACCGAAGCGTTTCGTTTCATAAGAATAAAGCAAACACCTGACCAACCGTTGAATTTGCCGATAGCATTTCAATTTCAATAGAGGCATATTTTGTGGATCGAGTAGGCAAACACAGTTGAGGCGCATGAGATAGGATGAACTATCGTAAAAAAAAGAACTAGGTACAACACACATGCAACACACATATTGTTGATATTTGAGTGGAGAGAATCTACACTACAGCCGCTATGAAATAGCCACAATGAAACTGAAAATATATACCCAGAACCGAAAAAAAACATATACACCCACATACACCGAACGATATTAAATTGGAGAGCAAACGAAACGTGACAAATGTCGAAATTAAAAAATCAATAATATGCATTCGATGATCCGTGTCATGGCTTTCTGCAAACAAACTGCTATTTATCATGCTGCAAAGTGGTTTTATCGGGTTGAGGCTTTGCAAAAGTTGCCATTGTCACTGTCATTGTGCGAGCATCAACCATCGCTTGTCAATTGTTTCCGCATATTTAGTGCTACAAGTATTTTGTATGGCGCAAAATGATGATGCCATGAGCAGAGAAAGAACACAACAAGTGAAGAGAACATGGGCGGCAGCGTCCGCAATACCCAACAGATTCATGACCTGATAAAAACAAAATTAAACTAAACAGAAAAAAAGTGAATAGTTTTAGTCGTTGGTCGGAAATTAAAATGTCTTTCGAACTTCGTTTGCCGTTATGATCACCGTCCCATTTTAAACAATATTCGGCTAAATTTGGTCATGATTATAAGTTACATACGCTTAACACAATGCTCCTTCCTTGAAACGAACTGACAACGAATAAGCTGTTAAGGTCAAGCAAATTACATTTTCCCAAATTAAGCGTCCCATTTCACTCATTTCATTCGACGTATAACACAGCATAATTTGGTGATTGTCTCACACTAAATTGACTCAAACTACTTTTCGGTGAGTTTTTCTTTTCCTTTCTTTTAAATTTTAATGGCTTAACTTTAAATTATGAAACAGCCTCGTCATTTTATGTGATAAAACTCAATCTTAAAGACTCATACTCAAAACTTGAAATTCGCTGAAATGGAAAAGAACGGAGAAAAGGAAGCAAGAATCTAAACTTATGCCATCTTTTAAGTTTTATAAATGATTAAATTAATATTACTGCAGGAAAACATATGGTCTTACACCCGAACACTTGGAATCTTTACATACACACATACACCAATGGAAAAACGGCGAATCATTTTAAAAGTGATGGCGAAGGACATATCAATGTTAGCCGATTTAATACGCATAAAGTACGTAAAATTTACATAATTATTTGCTTAATTAAATTTAAAGATTTTCGTCACACTTAACATTAATCCGATTTACGACTTTATAACATTCTTCGATAACTTGTCCAACAGCATAAAACCCGTTGTTGCTATAAAACTAGCGACTCCTTTCACTTGACCTCTCATTCTCTCACACCCGTTTATCAGTTGTGTTGCTCTCTCTCTCTCTCTCTCTCTCTCTCTCTCTCTCTCTCTACCTCGTTCTTCTTCCAATACTTTACATAGTAGTGGTGTCTATGAAGGGTGTTATAGTTTATATATTCTATGCTCCTTTCGATGAATTGCTGGAGTGAATACGAAATTTTCTGATGGTCATAATTGGATGTATATATCCACGTTAATGTCTCT